AATTCACTCTATCCCTAAGGGCTGCAAAAACAGTTTTTTTTTTTCCTTTGAATTAATTAATTTTTTGGTTGAAGTACAGTTGATTTACAGTATTGTGTTGGTTTCAGGTATACAGCATAGCGATTCAGTTATACATATATATATATTCTTTTTCAGATCCTTTTCCCTTATATGTTATTACAAAAAATTGAGTATAGTTCCCTGTGCTATACATTAGGTCTTTGTCGATTATCTATTTTATATTGCATTGGCCAAAAAGTTCGTTTGGGTTTTTTCCGTAAGATATTATGGAAAAACCTGAACAAACTTTTTGGCCAACCCAATATACAGTACTGTGTATATGTTAATCCCAACTTCCGAATTTATCCCTCCTCCCACCTGCAAAAACAGTTTTTGTAAAGAGCACTTTGGTATTAACAAAAATGCTGAATGAATTTTGTCTTCCACCTTCCCTTCACAGCTAGCCTTCTTCTTGCTTTTGTAACTTTGTAATAAGGCATGAATGATACACAAAAACCTGACCATGTTTAATGTATATAATTTGATGAGTTTGGACATATGTATACATCCATGATACTGTCACCACAATCAAGGTAATAAACATATCCATCACCTTCAAATGCTTCCTTACGTCTCTTTCTTTGTGTACGTGTGCTAAGAACACTCAACATGAGATCTACAATATGAACAAAATGTTATTACCTTTTTAAATAAATTTACTTATTCATTTATTTTTGGCTGCACTCGGTCTTTGTTTCTGTGCGCGGGCTTTCTTTAGTTGTGGCGAGTGGAGGCTACTCTTTGTTGCGGTGCACAGGCTTCTCATTGTGGTGGCTTCTCTTGTTGCGGAGCACGGGCTCTAGGCGCGAGGGCTTCAGTAGCTGTGGCACGCAGCCTCAGTAGTTGTGGCTCGTGGGCTCAGTAGTTGTGGCACATGGGATTAGCTGCTCCGCGGCATGTGGGATCTTCCTGGACCAGGGCTCAAACCTGTGTCCCCTGCACTGGCAGGTGGATTCTTAGCCACTGTGCCACCAGGGAAGTCCCTGAACAAATTTTAAGTGCACAGTACCTTATTGTTAACTGCAGGCACCGTGTTGTAGAGCAGGTCTCCAGAGCTGACTCATCTTGTATAGCTGTGACTTTATACCCATTGAACAGAAATTCCCCATTTTCTACCCACACCCACAGCTAAGTTTCTTGAAAGAGCATAATTTTCTTCTTCTTTATCTCTTACTCAGTCTTCTACACCTAACACTTTAAGTTCCACCCCACCACTCTACTACAGCTGCTCTTTTCTGTGGTCATTATTAAACTTCTCATTCTTCTTCTTCTTATTATTATTATTATTGCGGTACGCGGGCCTCTCACTGCTGCGGCCTCTCCCGTTGCGGAGCACAGGCTCCGGACGCGCAGGCTCAGCGGCCATGGCTCACAGGCCCAGCCGCTCCGCGGCATGTGGGATCCTTCCGGACCGCGGCACGAACCTGCGTCCCCTGCATCGGCAGGCGGACTCTCAACCACTGCGCCACCAGGGAAGCCCCTAAACTTCTCATTATTAAGTCAAATAAATATGCCTTGGCTCTCCCAAAGTATTTGCCATAAACACTATTGAGAACTCCTCCCTCCCTCTTGAAATTCTCTTCTCTTTCACGGGTCTCTGTAACAATATCTTCTTTTGAATTTTCTCCTACCTCTGACCGCTCCTTCAACAGGGAACCTGATTTCAGGATCAGGATCTACTGACTCTATCCCCCTGTCCTTTCTAATCTGCCCCATCCTCTCCACCTCCACTAACTTTGCCTACCTAGGTTGGGGCCCTAACGCTTCTCGCCTGGATGACATTACCCTATTTGTCTCCTTTTCCCAGGCACTTAGACCACTGTAGGTGTTCAACAACTCTTTGTTGGTGGGATGAATACATGGTGACAATTCCTCTCCCCACCTCTGCCACTCAGTGACTCACCATACTTGCTCCAGGCACCTTTCTAAAACACATAGGTAGTCATGCTGCATCTCTCCCTAGGCCAAATCCTTCCACTGCCTCCAGGATCAATTTTGATCCTCTTAGCATGGCACAAAATCACTTCTTGCCCTTTTCGTGCCTCATCTCCTACCAGCGCCCGATGCACACTCAGTGCAGCCCTGTGAGATAACCCACAGCACCAGTACTCTTTAAGAACCTCGCCCCACCCCGTCTCTTTTTATTAAAGTACAATTAACATACAATAAGCATACAATGAAGTGCATGTATCGATCGATTCTGGCACGCGTATACATCCATGTAACCACCACCCTCATCAATATACAAAACATTCCCGTCATCTCAGGAAGGTCCCTATGTCCTCAACAGTTAATCACCTCAAATAAATCACTGTCCTGATATCTGTCACCATATGTTAGTTTTGCCTCTGTGTCTGGCTTCTTCAGTTCAGCATAATGTCTGTGAGATTCGTTGATGTTGTCACGTATACTAGAAATTCATTCTTTTTCACTGACGAGTGGTATTCCACTGTTTAAATATATCACAATTCCTTTACGTATTGGTGGACATTTGAGTCACTCTCAGTGTCAGATTATTACGAACTCCAAACATTTTAATGCCATTTTTTGTGGACATAGATTTTTTTCTTTTTTTTGCATGAATACCTAGGAGGGGAATTCCTATGGTTAACTTAAGAAAAACTGCCTAAATGTTTCCAACCACACATCTCCATACTTGGCAACACTTGGTGTTGTAATTTTTTTTTTATTTTAGTCATCCTAGCGTATGTTAAGTGGTGTTTCACCGTGGCTCCGAGTCTCACATTCTTCCTGACTACTGATGCTGAGCACCTTTGCAATGTGATTATTGGCATTTGTGTATCTTCTTTTGTAAAATATTCCATTTATTTGAACCATTCAAAAAATTAGTTGTCTTTTTATTATTTCTTTGAAATAGTTACTCAGAATATAAGTTCTTTACCAGATATGTAACTTTACGAGTCTTTGGCTTACCTTTTTGTTTTCTCAATGATGTCTCTGAAGCACAGAAAATCATCATTTATCATCTTTCTTTTCCTTATGCCCTTTAACTTTATCTTTAATAAATAAATTAAGGTAAAGGATTCCAGTTTACCTGGGAGAAGCTTCCTCCTTATCTTTGAGAGTCAGTTGACATAACGGGACGTGTAATCACTGATGTTCTTCTTTGTTTTCCCCCATAAGCTTAGGAGCAACTTGAGAGCAGGGGTTGTACTTTATGGAGTGCTTTATATATAGTAGTAGAATGCCCAGCAAGTAGCGGAAGCTCAAGAACTATTTGTTACCCAAATATGTTGAAAATTGGAAGAGTCAATTCAGTTTCATCAATTAACTACTTTACGCATCATCTTCTCTTCCTAGAAACAAGGAAAACTCCCCACTTACCTCAAAAGCATGTACAAGCAATGAAAGCTTTATGAGGTTGTGAATGGAGCTTTTTTGGTCCCTTACGTGTACATCAGTAAGCAGCCTGTGAATATATACTTTTCATAGATTTTATATTATTGTTATTATTAATATTATTTCATGAATCCTGATTTTCACTTGAAAAGTTGTATATGTAATTCTTTATTTTTTAGTATAACTCTTAATACATCAGATGTTCCTCATCAAATGCTGGGACATCTTGAACCAAAGAAAACTATGACTAGTCAGAATAGAGACACGAGGGTTTGCCAGTTGACTTGATCATGTCAGAGTGATCAGCTTTCTATCCTAGTGAGGTTCACTAATGTCCAAAACCCTAAGGATTACATCAAAATGACAATGTTATCATTCAATCTGTCCAAGAAATTAGACCTTGATGAATTCCATGGAGAACTCCAACTTGATAATGAGCTAAGAAGTCATAACACTATTCTGACAGGAAGGTACAGTTAAAGAAATTTGAAAAGCAGCAGCAATACATGAAAATGATGGGCTAATGGAGGGAGCAAAGTGCAATCTTCTCCTCCTGGCAGGAAGCCACAGAATGGAGAAGCCCCTGCTCAGTGAACAATGAGACACAATCAAACGGCATTCAGTGCATGATGAATTAAGCATCTGAGAGCAGAGTGACTTTTTCCATAGCAACAAAGCCTCAGAAAGCCCAGAATGTTATTGGCCAGAGTCTTGTACTGTTCTTCCGGGGCTACATCAATCCTCACCCTGGATGATTAAAAGTGCCAGAAGCAAGTGTGATATTCGGATATTCAAGTTAAATGATAAATGTGCATAGAATGAATAGAAAATATAGTTCCATGTGTAAATAGCCAGAATGTTCAATTTCCAAATATGAAAAGTATATAATTTAGAAACTCATTGAAATGGAAGTTTGAAGGATTTGCTGCTTACTCAGCATCGCCTAATAAAAGAATGTATCCGTTATCCAATCTTTGCTTTGGAAAGAGTTGGTTCTGTTGGGGGTTGTGAAAGGGTCCAGATCTTTCTCGCTAGTCAAGGCTTTATGCTGGTAACAGGAGTGTGAAAGAATCTTTCTCAATGGCCAAGATCCCTGAAAGAACAGAGGTATGAAACTGCCCCGGCACAGAAGCACCGAAGCAATGCAGCGCCTTGTAGAAAGTGGAGAAGCAGCACGTCACTGTCAGCTTGTGACCGCTCTGTCGTCATCCATGGAGACTGAACCATGACCTGGTTTTCGTCGCCTTCAACCACTTCTCAATGTTGTCCATATTCTCAAACGTCATCCAAAAGAGACTTGAAATTCTTCTCTCATAAGGATTTGATCATGATTGAAGTGCAATGAACAGGCGGTTAGAATTCTGGTTGTAAAGAATTTAAGTTGAAAGCAGGAATTATGTCTTACCTGTAACACCTTGTGTGCCGAGAATAACTCCTGGTTGGATGACTAGTGGGTGAATGAATAGGAGGCCTAAAAATGAAATGGAAAATGTACAGGACAGTTGGAGCTGAAAGGCTACATTTAGGAAATTAAAGAAGCGAACCCCATAACTGAATTAACACTCTATGACACACGGAGCTACTGATCAAAGAGAGAATTTATTCACAGAGCTTTTCAAATACAAACAAAATAGCACGTTTTTATTTTTTACAAAATGAATATTGGAATAAATGTGGTACAGCACAGTACAATAATGGATGAAAGAAAACAAGATCTAGTGACTGGAAAATGTCTCTCATTACTCTCACATCTTCAACTCAATTCTCTCCTACAGTGGACAGAAAGTTGCCCCTTTAACTTCATAAGAATACCATAGCAGAAGCTACTCAGAGAAATATTGCATATTTTTTGAATAATATTGAAATACAAAGGCTTAATTCTAAAGATCTGCATAAACACTGAAAACACGTTGAGGGCATAAAGAGTTTATGCAGAGTATACAAAATACTGATAAGAGTGGCTTATTGGTCCATTTATTAGGTTTAATGTATACTTTATAAAGTGATAATATGGTATTTTAAATGTGTATTAAAAAGAAAACAGAGGAGTAACGCACTGCTAACCCTCTCATACAGACTGTGCAACAATTTAAATGTCTGTGTGTGGGCATGTGTGTGGATGCGTACATCTGTATGTGCTCGTGTGCTTTCAGAAATGCCATGACTTACTGGGAACGTCTGTGCGTTACCCTGCTTCCCAACCTAATACTGTTTCTCCTAGCCCTTTCGATTCTCTGAGTCATCATCCTTAAAAAAAAAAATCCTTGTTTGCTGCATATACAGATTTGTTTTGTGTATGTGTGTGTTCTACATCAACAATACTCTGTGGGATAGAAACACCCAACACCCTGCAATATTTTTAGCCTTTGGTCCATTTTTCTCTATCATTCCATGCTCTACATTTCTTTCACAAACCTTGCACAACCCTTCCCCATGGTATAATGTTTTTAATTCCACTGGGTTTCATTTCATTAGTGTTGTATGGTTTAGAACCACTATTCCACCTTTTGAGAATAGCTGGATGCTTCAGTCCCTCCCAGCCCCTTCAGCCCGTCTTCTCCTCTGTTTGCTCTTGGTGGCTCCATCTCAGTATGGGTACTGTTTCTGTTTCTTGCCCGAGAAGCAAGCCAGCCATGTGCATAGCAGCATGGCGGTGGCAGCACCTGCTCCCGTGCAGTAGTAGGCCCAACCGATTTCACACTTACCTAGGGACACAAGAGAAGGAGAGAAAGCAGGCACAGATCAGGATGATTTTACAGGAGGTTCTGTCATTTCTCCCAGGGTGTGTGTTCCTGGTGTACCACGGTGAAACGGAAATACTCATTAGAAATGTGACACTCACTCAAAGGGAATGATAACAAGGGATGAAACTTATCCCATGATGGAAGAAAGCCGGAATAGTTGTGGGCATTTCAGAAGGACCTCAAGGCCTATGTCTCCTGCTAGCTAGTGACAGAAACCTTTTCTCCCCAACTGCGATGCTCACTCCCGTGGCTGAAGAAAAGGAGGAATAACAGCAATCAGGATAGGAGAGATGAAGGTATTAGTTCCGATTTAAATCACCCAAACTCATATGCATAATGAGGTACCTTAGAAAAAAATTCAAAATACAGGTAAGTCCTAAATATAGATACAGTTTCTGCAAAAGGGCCACTCTAAGGAGGAGATCCCTTTGAAGAATAATGCTAAAGTGAAAGAATCTACCAAAAAACTCCTGGAACTACTAAGTGACAACAGAAATGTTGCAGGATACAAGGGTAATATATAAAAGTCAACTGCTTCCTATATACCAGTAATGAACAAGTGGAATTTTTAATTAAAAACACAATACTATTTATATTAGCATCCCGCAAAATGAAATAAGTAAAAATCTGACAAAATAGTACAAGGTCTTTATGAGGAAAACTATAAAACTGATGAATGAGATCAAAGAACTAAATAAATGAAGAGATATTCCATGTTCATGGACAGGAAGGCTCAATATTGTCAAGACGTCAGTTCCTCCCAATTTGAGCTACAGATTCAATGTAATTCTAATCAAGATTCCAGAAAGTTGTTTTGCGGGTATCAGCAAACTTATTCTAAAGTTTATATGGAGAAACAAAAGACCCAGAATAACCAACACAATATTGAAGGAGAAGAACAAAGTTAGAGGACTGACGCTACCGGAATTCAGGACTTACTATAAATCTCCAGTAGTCAAGATGGTGTGATATTGGTGAAAAAATAGACAAATAGACTAATGCAACAGAATAGAGAGCCCAGAAGCAGACCCACATAAATATAGTTAACTGATCTTTAACAAAGGAACAAAGGCAGTACAATGAAGCAAAGACAGTATTTTCAATAAATGGTGCTGGAACAACTGGACATCCACATGCAAACAAAGGAAATTGGACACAGACCTTACACCCTTCACGAAAATCAACTTAAAATGGAGCACAGGCTGAAATGTAAAACGTAAAACTATGAAAATCCTAGAGGATAACATAAGAGAAAATCTAGATGCCCTTGGGTATGGTAATGACTCTAGATATAACACAATCCATGAAAGAACTAACTGATAAGCCGAACTTTATTAAAATTAAAAAAAACTTCTGCTCTGTGACAATGTCAAGAGAATGAAAAAAAAACTGCAGACTGAGAGAAAAATGTGCAAAAGACACATCTGATAAAGGACTGTTATCCAAAATATACAAACACTTAAAACTCGACAATAAGAAAACAGACCTGATTAAAAAATGGGCCAAACACCTCAGACCACAGACACCTTACCAAAGAAGATATACAGATGGCAGATAAGCATATGAAAAGACACTCCACATCATGTCATCAGGGAAATGCAAATTAAAATGACAGTGATATGCCACTACATACCTATTAGAATGGCCAAAATCTGGAACACGGACACCACCAAATGTTGGCGAGGATGTGGAGCAACAGGAACTCTCATACATTGGTGGTAAGAATGTGCAATGTTACAACCATTTTAGAAGACAGTATGGTGGTTTCTTAGAAAACTAAACATACTCTTACCATACAATCCAGCAGTTGCATTCCTTGGTGTTTACCTAAAGGAGCTGAAAACCTGTGTCCACACAAACGTCTGCACCTGGATATTTATAGCAGCTTTATCCATAACTGCCAAAACTTTGACGCAATGGAGGTGCCTTTCGAGTCAGGACTCAAATCTGGGTACCAGGTTCTAAGAATAAGAACTCACTGACCCAAAACATCCTACTTGAATTAGTGGGATAGGTTTCCGCATTCATTAATCCTTTTTTTAAAACAACATTCAAGTTATTCTTTTTGCATGTACAGTAAGGAAGTCCTCTATATCTCTCATGCAACATTGTCTTTTCTGCCCTAATTGAATCCCCTTTTTAGTCAGTCTTAAGAAAACCAGAAATCAGACAATGCTCCAACAACCACCATTTTCTCCCTTTTCTTTTGTTTTTCTTTATCCATTACATTAGCTAAAACACATACAACCAGATGCTTGGATTTCACAGTCACTGAACATACAAACCACAGTTTGAAAACCATATCTTTTTTTTACATGTCAGTCATTTTTTACCTTGTTCATTAATAACTTCTCTATTGAAAACTACAAAGACTGTTAGGTGTAGCATGTAATTTGACTTCCTATCTTCACTGAAGTCTACTGAGGCGGTAGTTAGCATGTGCCCCATTTACAGATAAGAAGGTGAGGTGAGGCAAAGCTTGAGTCATTGGCTTGTAGTCACCATAAGTCAATAGCCACAAAATTAGACCAAGAGCCTCCACATCTTAAAAGTACTCTAGGGCACTACCTATGTACCAGACAATAGGATACGTTTAGCCTGCAACTTTGGTTTCTCCCTCTCCGTATCCAATAATAAATAATAAAAATTAAGAAACAGAAAACACAGATTGATTACTATTTGCTCTGAATTGTAGAAGAGCTTTTGTGGAGCAAATATTAATACATTTAATCCCCATAAGAATACGATGTGGTAGGTACCTGAGTATCATCCCCACCATTCGCATGGGGACACTAAGGCCAAGGAAAGTTCAGTAACCTGCCCAAGGACTCACCTGTATAGTAAGTGACGAGTCCTTTGCGTCTCTCTCCACAATTTATTCTGTGTGCCTCCATTCCTCAAGTGCCTATAGCAACCCCCGGCAGTCTTACCTGCTGCCATTGCTTTCCTGTCTCCCTGCTTTTATTTATAGTATCATCAACAGCAAAGAGGGCAGCTATCTTTTCAAAAATCAATCATGTTAAGTCGCTCCCTTACTTAAAATCCTTTAATGGTTTCTCAAACATGCAATCTCCTTCCAAAGGCCTGTGAGCCCCTGAATGAGCTGGCATCTGCCTACTTCTCAGACCTCATGACCACCTTCCCTCTTGTCTTCTTTCTGGCCATACTGGCTGTCTTCTCTGGACCACATCAGGCTTGTATTGGCTCCAGTACTCCTCACTCATTATTCCTTCCACCCCAAAAATTCTACTTCCAGATCATTAGAGAGCTGGAGCTTTCTCAGATGGAATCTACCTGCCCACCCCCCCCCGCAACTTATCTCATCAAAGTCACTCTATTCCTTCACCTCACTTTATTGCCTTTGTAGCACTTGCCATGGTTTGTAAATATTGTGTGTGCGTGTGTTTAACTTCAGTCTATCCCACTAGAATGAAAGTGTCAATTTGGGGAGACCTTTGTATATTTTGTTCCCTACTGTACCCCTATAACAGTGCCTGGCTCACAGTAGGCACTCAGTAAATAAATGCTGAATGAAAGACAAGGTAAAAGAAAGAGAGAAAGAAAGGAAACAAAGTAGGCAGACAGTTAGTCTTTCAAAGATAAAGTATGGGATTTTAAGAGTAACTCCAGTCTTATTTGACACAGAACTTCTGGAGAGAAGTGCCCAAACCAACTGTGCATTTATAGCTTTGTACAGAGTGTGTTCAATTTAAAAGGACAATAGATCCTGAAAGAGCACATCTCCACCGCAGGCTGGGTCTCACTGGCACAACGACCTCCATTAATACTGACAGATAGAATCAGTCTTTTCAAGGGTAACAGAGTCTCCTTCATGGACCAGATTTTCTGATAACCATAGGCTACTGTGGCTGTGAGTCTTGGGAATAATCTCCATTTTGAATTATTCTTTAGCTGGACTAAACAAATCTAGGAGGGAGAATTAATAGGTAACTGAGAGATGGCAGGTGGTTTAGAACCAAAAAGTCAGCAAAATCTGTGGTCAGTCCATTCAGTATAAGGCTCATAACACAGAACACAGTCAGTTGTTCATTAATAATAAGGTGTTGATCTTCCATGACCTAACATGAAAAGTGGAGTACAGAATTCTTTACTAATTATCGGACACTCACTCAAGAAAAAGTAGTTGGTGAGGCTATTTAATAATAGTGTATGTGGGCTTCCCTGGTGGCGCAGTGGTTGAGAATCTGACTGCCAATGCAGGGCACACGGGTTCGAGCCCTGGTCTGGGAAGATCCCACATGCCGCGGAGCAACTAGGCCCGTGAGCCACAACTACTGAGCCGGCGCGTGCTCTGCAACAAGAGAGGCCGCGATAGTGAGAGGCCCGCGCACCGCGATGAAGAGTGGCCCCCGCTCGCCGCAACTAGAGAAAGCCCACGCACAGAAATGAAGACCCAACATAGCAAAAATAAATAAATTAATTAATAAACTCCTACCCCCAACATCTTCTTTAAAAATAATAATAATAATAGTGTATGTAACAGTAGTCACGTGTGTTAAATAGAGATTAAAAAAAAAAAGCTACTAAAGCATTGACTATCAGAGAACCCAGGAAAGACAGTATAACTTTTTCTCTCCTCTAGAAAAGTCAGTAAAATAGCGTAAGCTTAAACCTTAGGAGCTCTGAACTGGCAGGGTTGCTGTAGCAGATGGTGCAGATGCTCCACCCAATTCCTTTGGATCCTTTGCTGGTTCTGGGCTCTCATCCATCAGCTACTGACTGTACTTTGCTCCTAACAGCTTATACTTGCAACCCTCTTCAGAGGACCCATGAGCTGGGGGGCCACTTTGTTCCAACTCTCAGAAAGTTGAAGTACCCCTGGTGGGACTGGTAGCCACTGACGGGCTGGTGCAGGAGTCTGAAAGCCCTCCTTCTTGCCTCCAGGTGGGACAAACTCTGCTGTGGCATGAATGTTCCAGAGCTCGTAAGAGTCCAGACTG